ATATATCTATATTGCAGATATCGGTATATACAACCTAGAACATGTACTTACTCATATGCACGTACGTACTTACACACACATAATATATATATATATATATATATATATATATATATATATATCCATATTGCAGTTATGACTTGGGGTGTCATCCCCCTGTTCCAGAGCTATTCCGATGCGGGCGACTTCACTTTTGGCAATAAAATGAGAACTGCCATCAAGGTATTGAGCCTCTCTTGTGGCGTGTGTCTCTGTGGCGCAAACAGAAAGGGCTTGGCACATACCACAGTGTATATTCTACTACCATGTGAACTAGTTTGTGTTTATTTTATTAACATATTTTACATGTGAATTAGTCTGCGTTTGTTCTATTCACATATTAAAATGTGAATTAGTTTGTGTGCCATCAAGGTATTGAGTCTCTCTTGTGGCGTGTGTCTCTGTAGTTCAAGCGGAAAGAGCTTGGCACATACCACAGTGTATGTTCTACTAGCATGTGAATTAGTTTGTGTTTATTTTATTAACATATTTTACATGTGAATTAGTTTGCTTTTGTTCTATTAACATATTAAAATGTGAATTAGTTTGTGTGCCATCAAAGTATTGAGTCTCTCTTGTGGCGTGTGTCTCTGTGGTTCAAACGGAAAGAGCCTGGTATATACCACAGTGTATGTTTAATCAACATATAATTAGTTTGTGTTTTTTCTATCACCATATAAGTTAGTTTGTGTTTGTTTTATTACTATATAAATAAGTTTGTGTTTGTTCTATTACCATATAAATTAGTTTGTGTTTGTTTTATTGCTATATAAATTAGTTTGTGTTTGTTCTAGTTCATTATAAGTTAGTTTGTGTATGTTCTATTAACATGTGAATTAGCTTGTGTTCAGTGCAGCATTGTCATCCGCAAGGTTGTGGCGCCTTTCCAATCTCAAGCTTTGAGCACGCACACAAATACTTATTTGTGAGTCCTCTATGACACATATGACCCTGTGTGAAACCAATAGAACATTCGGCCTATTCCCATAGTATATTTGTGCCTGTTAAACACAGTGAGTGTGTGTCTGTGCTGTAATGTTTGCGAGTGTGCGTTCTCTCGATGACACATATGACCATGTGTGAAACCAATAGAACATTCGGCCTATTCCCATAGTATCTTTGTGTCTGTTAAACACAGTGAGTGTGTGTCTGTGCTGTAATGTTTGCGAGTGTGTGTTCACATCTCTCTATGACACACATGGTCCTGTGTGAACCCAATAGAACATTTTCCATTGTACCTTTGTGCCTGTAAACCACAGTGAGTGTGTTCTTATGCTGTAATCTGTGTGAAATTAATAGAACATTCGACCTATATCCATATCTATTGTACCTTTGTGCCTGTAAACCACAGTTTGTGTGTGCTTGTGCTGTAATCTGTGTGAAATTAATAGAACATTCGACCTATATCCATATCCATTGTACCTTTGTGCTGTAAACCACGGTGAGTGTGTGCTTGTGCTGTAATGTTTGGGGGGGTTATACATCCTCTATGGGTACCTTTGGTGTATTGTTCTTGTCTGATTCGGATCACATTTAATGTGCTCGTGTGCTCAGCAACGTTTGGGTATTGGTGCGTGTTGTAGTCATTATTCATGGAGTGTGTGATCTAGACGGTATTAACTTCAAGAGGATGATCCTATATGAACCACTAGGGCTTATGTTCCTTCAGTGGTACAATGGGGCGTACGGGTCTTTCTTTATAATATGCAGGGCCTTTTTCGCCGCTTTCGCGCATACGGTCCTCTTCGAGAGCATGGTCAGACCCTTTCCGCACCCACTCAGTCCCGGACATACGCACAAGCACACCTCATGCACACACGCACACATGCACACACACACACACACACACAAGCATGCCTGTATGCGTATCTTAAGGCGCGTATGGCTGCATACGTAAACGCCATTGAATGCAAAGGTGGCGGTCAACGTCTGTTTGCGAATGATGTCCGGCGTCTGTCCCCTCTGCGTATACGTTTTTGTAACGCTTTAGCATAACGTACTCTCACCCAGGCAGTCGCCCACCTATTCGCATGCACACACACCTGCGCGTTTGTGTAAATGAACGGGATGCTCTGCGGCGTATTTAAGCTCGATTTTTTTCTAGCCTCTTTTTCGTATCTATAGCCCAGTTGTGAGGGTCGGGTAGACCTTGATGCAAGAGCACAGCCAGATCTACTATGCAAACATACCTTAATTTCTAGCCATATGTATGTCTATCTATATGACTATATTACTGACTTTATCTATAACTATGTTCATGGTTTTATCTATGAATATATTCAAGTCTTTCATGATCTAGCCATATGTATGTCTATCTATATGGCTATGTTACTGACTTTATTTATAACTATGTTCATGGTTTTATCTATGACCATGTTCATGATTCTATCTATGACTATGTTCATGGTTTTATCTATGACTATATTAATGTCTTCCTTCATAACTACATTCCTGGCTTTATCCGTATGTGCGCAGGAGAATGTGATGTTCTACGGTACCTTTGGGATCATCTTTGGCGTTTTCTTTGTGTACATCGCCATCCGCGAGAGTCTGACTATGAAGAATCTAGTGGGCATTGGCATGGCTGCTAGTAACACGTGGGGGCTAACGGCTACAGTAGCGTTGCTGGGCTATGGGCTCGTAGACGTACCACGACGGTGGTGGGAGAGATGCCAGACAGAGAAGTGGATGGAGATACTGTACTTTGGGGTGGCCAAAGCTACCCAGGAGTTGGATGAGGTGGGTGGATTGTGCAGACCTGTATGAACTTATATATATATATATATATATATCTATATATATATAT